AAAAAAGAGGAACAAATGTAACCTGAACAATAAAGATTTAATTAAAAAAAAAAACACACACACACACACAAAAAAAGAATCTGACAAACCATACACTTGGAAATTGTGAACAGACCCATATTAGTTTTCATTATTGCTGTGGCTTTCATTTTTTTGTTAATCCTCACCTGAGGATATTCTTCCACTGATTTTTAAAGGGAGTAGGAGTGGGAGGAAGGGAGAGAGAGAGAGAGAGGAGAAAGAGAGAGAGAGAGAGAGAGAGAGAGAGAGAGAGAGAAAACAACATAGATTGGTTGCCTCCTGCATGTGCCCCAACCAGAGACCAGAGCCAGGGATCAAACCTGCAAACCCAGGTAGGTGCCCTTGACTGGGAAATGAACCCTGAACCCTCTGGGCATGGGCCAATGCTCTAACCACTGTGAACATTGGCCAGGGCAGTTGTTGTAGTTTTCTTCTCCCGTTTCCTCTCTCACCCTCTTTTCTTCCCTCCCTCTTTTCCTTCCTTTTAGACGGAGTTCCTAATTCCTTAGCTCCAATTCATGCTGTACTCTCTCACCATTCTTTCTCACATCGTTTCCTTCTCCCTCCATCTCGACATTGCTTTCCCACATTTCACAGTGAATGTCAATGTGCTGGAGTGTGCACGGGATGGGGAGGGTTACTGAGAACCATGATTTTAGAAGCTTATGTGTTTGAGAGCCTGTGAAATCCTCCCTGGCCTCAGAGATTTTAAATTGTTTCAATCTATATTTTCTTTGACTTTTATGCTTTTAAAGTTTCACATCCAATAACCACATTAGTATCCAGAGCATGGATTTTTTGAGTTTGACAAAGCTGATCCTGTGGATTCAGTTTCCATAAATCCCTTAAAGTGTTTAACCAACTTTTCTCATTTTGCAAAAATGTCTAACAAAATCACAGGGGAAAACAATTGTTCTTGACATCACAACAGTTTAATATGCTAACTTATTCATTAAATTGTGCTTCACATCAATGGAAATCCTCAGTTCTACAAACTATCATTTTTTAAATAGCAATAAGGGTTGATAATGTCACAATACAATCTCCTAGTACCCGAGTTCATACATATTGTTGCACAGAAACCAAAGGAAATATCTCTTAGGAGAAATAATTTACTATCTATTGAGTAACTATCTTTACATCTAAAATGGGGCACCAGATATAAGTCCAGATTTTTCTTTCCAACATTTTTTTTATCTTTGAAACATTAAATGAAAAATAATGCAAGCAAGACCCAGAATGTACTTCTGGGAGGAATAAAAAACACGGGAAGAAGAGAAAAGTTGATCACGTGATTTAAAAAAAATAACGACAAGCTGGTGGGAGACAAATGTGACAATGACTAAATCACACAAACTCTGCTTCCTCAGATCATGGTTTTCCCTGGCAAGAGCTGAGGTTTTCCAGCACTGACATCTGGCCCTTTGATGAGATACCACAGTGCAGCAGAACATGGAACTCACAGAGATTCCACTTGGTGTGTCAAAGGCTGACACATTATTTCCATAGACAACTTAGAACACAAGTTCAAGAAACATCTGTGCTTTCGGGTTCTCAGATCCAGAGCTCCGTGAGGTTACCTCGAGTCCTCGCCTAGAAGTCCAGGGGCGTTTGTCTTGCAGATGTTGCTGGTGTTTATAGTGAGGCCAGTCCTCTGGAATCTCAGCACCTCTGCAAGATCAGTTGGTTCTGTGTGTCACGAAGCTTACATCCATGTGCATTCCATCCATTAGGTTACAAAACACACAGGTTTCAACCCACCCACTTGCCCAAAAGGGCTGATTCAAAGTTTTAGGGAATCAGTTCAGATATGTCCAGGTGAATATGGTGAGAGAATAACAGGTTTATATGTCCACTAGAGATGGAAGAAGGGAACAGAAGAAAAGCTGAACGTGTCTTGGAGAAAGAACCTTGGCATGCTCCCCAGAGATGACACAACTGAGTAGAGTCATCAGACTCGGCCAGCCCTGGTACCAGCCTGGAGACATTCAGTCAGAGTTCTGGAGACCAGTGGACGTACAATAACGATGGGAAAGGAGAAATCTTGGCGACACAGCTGTGAGCAGATCGGGGTATTCTTCACTTAAGTCCCACCCAGCTTTCTCTTTGAGCCAACTCATTCTATTCATTCAGTCTTTATTTCAGCCCCTAAAACTATCCCCATGCTCTTGTCCTGTCTCATGAGCCTCATGTCCTTTTCTGCCCTTTTAAATGGCCAAAAGAATTACAGTCCCCAGACTGCTCTTGTTCTTGAGGACAGAAGCTGCATATTAGTTATTTTCTATTTTTCAGTATTATCTGGCACATATTTAATTCCTCATCTTTCCACCTTTACAAGGTCTGCTTCCTTTTTAGGAGCTCTACTTTTTTTTCTATGCTTATTCCCAGTCTCCCTAACCCCCCACTCCCCACACACACATGATCCTATTACATAGGACCTTCTTCTGAGCTAGAGGCCAGATAAACATTCTGTGTGAAGGTGTTAGCTTATGACAGCTTAAAGCATGTCCTCTCTCTAGCAAATGTGCAAAGGGAATCACTGAAAAAAAAATAATTTAAAAAACCTTTAGGAACCAAAAAAATAAGTTGCTGATAAAATTCTAGGGACCTGGGGAAGTGGTAGAGACGAAAGTAAATTTTTAGAGCAGGGGTTCTATTGATCACCCCTTAAGCTTCAGCATTGAGGCTGCTGCTGATTGTAAGTATTTCTAACACTGAGCTTCCCTAAGGAGGTGTAAGCACATCCCCTCAGCCTTGTCCTTGAGTGGTTTTGGGATTGGATGGGGTGAAGATGAGCAAGAAGTGTTTGAGTGCCTGTGCTTTTCAGTTGCCCCTGCAGCACTGACAGTTTTTTGGCCATTTCACTCCTATTAACAGGCTCCCTCACTAGACGCAGGGGCTTATGGGCCAACTCTGCCAGTCTCCTTGGCATTATCTAAGTCACTGCAGTTCCATGAAAAGGTAAGGGAAGATATAAATCAATAAAGGTTTAGATTCATATTTTTTCAATTCCCAACCCTAAATCTGATGCTAAGCAGCACAAAATAGTAGGAAAGACTTGAAGTCAAAAGACTGGGGCTCTGAGCAACTTCCTTGTTAGTAAACTGTAATCTTTGGGAAATCTCTTGACATCTCTGAATTTCCATGTCAAACTATCTAATGGGTAATGTGTAGAGGTCCTATTTAACATATAAGAATGTAGTGAAGATCAATGAGATACTAAAGGTAAAAATGTTTTTAAAAACATTAAGTGCTATATAAAGTTATGAATTTAAACTTATCTATTGTAAAACATATGACCATATAGATGACATCAAAAAGCACTGGATGTATTTGTTAATTCCCCTTTGTGTCAGAGACTAATAGTTTCATCAGTATTAATTTTTACATTATTTCATTAAATCATAGGACCTTCATATCAAGGCACATAGCAACCAATAATAAAGGCATTTTATGCCTTTCTTTGCTAAATGTAGCTAATGGCTAGGTGCTAGCCCATAAGATGTGGCTATAAGTGATATGTGCAACTTCCTTCCATGTCCCCTCTTTGTTGTCTTAAATGTAGATGAGATGGCAGGAGCTGCAGCAGCCATCTTGGGCCAGGAGATGGAATCTGCACATTAGGACAAGAGAGCAAGAGAGTGCCTCGGTTTCTGGTAATGTCACACACCAGTTATCCAACCAGTTTGTCTTTTAAGCGAGAGAACAATTCTTCCATCTTATTGAAGTCACTAACATTTTGAGTTTCTTTGTTAAATCAGCCAAATGGAAAACCTATCCAATAAACTACTTATAGTTATTATTTTTATGATCTATGCTCACCTCACCTCCTTGCCAGGTCTATCTGGTAGACCTTCTCTCCCATACTATATACTATCTCTAGACAGACTTTTGAACAAATCCTCATTTTTCAAACCATTGATCAAACTATTTGTGACAGTTACCTCCTTTAGATGATAAAAAACTTTTTATAAATTTAATAGCACATGTGATATCTTTAACTGCTGCCTAAAACTAATTGCTAATGATATTAATTATTATAAAGGGGATCCAGATAATTCTCAGGGCAGGTTTTCCCCAGTTACCAAGAGGAGGCTGCCAATAAATGAGGCAGAATAGCCTCCTTAGTCCTTAATAATGATAATAATAATTTAAACATACACAGATACACACACAGACATCTAATCCCAGTCTCATTACTGGGGCTGCCATTGCTGAGAGAAGGAAAGGAATGTCTACCTCAGAGTTGCAGGAGTTAATAGGATGTGGCACTCCCTGGGGAATTCTCTGTCTTGTTCTCTCCCTCTTTCTCTCTCTCTCCTTCTCTCCCTCTCTTTCTCCCTCTTTTAACACTAATGTATCTGGAATTGATTTGGTTTGGGATCTGAAGGCCGACAACTTCCCCTGGATTCTTAGGCCCACATGCCTTTTATTGGCATCGCTTCCCCGAGCTTCACTCAGCATGTAGGTGTGCAGTCAATTTTCAGAGAACAAACCACATCCCCACCTCTTCGTTTCTATCAACATAGGCCCCCAGGGATATGACAAGTGTGCTGCTTTGGAATGAAATGATATGAAGGAGAAAGCCCTTGTCGGTCTTTTTAATTTGCTCAGCACTGGCCTCGGGCCAACACGAAGAGATGGTTTCTCCTCTGAACATCCTGATAGCTGGTCTCCAGTGGAGCACCATACATCACGCCTTTAGCAGCAAGGCCATGAACGCTTTTTGATATCAATCCCGAGGTGCCTAAGGAGCAGTGTGAAGTTAGCAGAGGCTGCCTCCAAGTCTCAGCTATGCACGAATTCCCTGCCAAAAATTTAAAGTGAGTTTAAAGGAAACAACCTGAATGCTTTCGAACTTGGTTTGATTTTCCACATGACAAAAGACTAGATTATCATTGTGGGGTGTGTGTGTGTGTGTGTGTGTGTGTGTGTGTGTGTGTGACAATAGCAGGCAGAGGGTAATTTGCAGACCTGCCATCGGCCATCCTGGGCAGAACATTAGATGTTAACATCAAAATGTGAAGAGAGAGCGAGCTTCTCATTAATCCCAGCTGCAATCTGCTTCCCTCCCTACCTTAGGAACAAATCATCAGAAAAGAAAACATTAATATTTTGTGAGCCTAATCTCCACCAAATAATGAGCAATTTTTACTTGGCCCCTTTAACTCACCCTCATGAATGGCTGACAAAGTAAAATTGCCTAAAAAGTCATCAATCTCTCAGTTTATTGATGTGGAGAGGGCTGGACTCACCCAAGGCCCCATGGCTCTGGGTCACTGCCACCTTGTTGCTGTCCCAGTTGTGTCACCCATAGGGGATAGAGGCATATACTTCTGGGCAATAATGGCTGGATTCTTGCATGGTTGGCTGAAAGCTTTTATCCCATATGGAAATCACGATGGAGTCCAAAGAGACTGCACTTTGCAGTCAGCCAGACCTAGCATACAGGTCAGGAGAAAGCTACATTTTGTCAGTGGGTTTCACTTTACTCACCTATGAAATTGGGACTAATAATATATACCTGGTTGTGAATAGATTTAAAGTATGAAAAGGGCCTCCCACAGTTCCTGGCAAAAGGGAGGTCCCCCAAAACGCCTTCCGTCACATGACAGATGAAGCCAAGGGTCGTGAGAGAAGAGTCTATGTGATTTTTCTAGGCCTCCCTTTGATGGAAGCACCAGGCTTTCCTCCGTGCAGGCAGTCGATCCATGAATGCCTCTGGGTTGATTGACTCTCAACCCCAGAGAGAGTATTCCGGAGGATGAGATGTGGCTTATACAAAGCTAGCTTAAACATCAAACATGTTGGATATCAATGAAGTAGGCTTTTCAATCTGATTTAGGAGTTTCCCTCATTTTGCCTTCAGCTCCTTGAGGGGATTGATCAGACAAATCTATTGTGAAACTTACTACTCACTCTGATCCTCCTAACCGATTGGTAGGTAGTCAAGGGATCGCCATGTCCTCTCCCATACTTCTCCCCCTATTATTCAAAAGCATGGTGTTATCATAGTTGTGACTGGGAAAAGGTGAAAATAAGAAACATTCAGCAATGCTGTGCATTTTGGGGGGTTCAGTTTTATACACTCCAGCCAGCGCCAGCTGTAGCCAGAATCTAACAACAGGCAAAGACCATGTGGGGAGAAAAAAGTTATCTGGCTAGGAATATTTAAATTTGGGGAGGTAGAGTCTTTTTAAACTCCCAGGATAATCGCACCATTGTGTTCTGTATCTCCTGGCCTAAATCAAAATTATTATTTATTTAAGGACCTCAAATATGTTTTATATAACTGATAGCTACCGTAAGCTCGTATTCTTCAAGCCAAATTCTTTTCAAATGTCTTTCCCTCTGTGATAGTAGAATTTCAGACCTGGCAGTACCATATCAGAGAAGATGACTGTTCCAAAGAGATAAAACTTGGAAATGTTCTTTAAAAAAAACATACACCTGAGGTCTGTAGCCAGTTTGGAAATGGTAGGCATGTATCTACCCTCCAGCTTCCCCCCAGGCCCCCTTATCATTCATTCCTTACATTGAAAATACAACTTGGTAAAGAGTTCTCTCCATAGGCATTAGTTAATAAGACATTTTCTCCCAAATGCCCCACCAACGTTCATGTCTCAGGGGCCACGGGCACCCGGACCTGAATCCACTTGCAGTTCCCTAAGATGTGGGGAAGGAAACATGGCTCAGGGCTGGGATGCAGGGCTTTGTCGGATGTGAGTCTCTAGTGATGGTCAATAGTAGGATAATCCTGTTTTAAAAGACGGCAACAAAACACATTTCTCTTCTTCTGATTTAAACCCCATTCAAACAGAGTTCAAAGATGACAGCCAACAGCAAAGTTAGAGATGGCCTAAAACCTTATCAAAGGGCTGAGAGGGACTTCTTTCTCTCTCTCTCTCTTGAAACCAACCAATATTTCCATTACAGAGACAGTATGAAACAGACCAGTTTCAGCAGAACATCCAAGCCACGGTTTGGCTTTTCATGTCTGCCTCTGGGGGTCCAGTCACCCAGAGTGTCACCTGTGCTGTGCCAAGGAGATTGCAAGGACACTGTTTCCTTTTTGGTGCTTCTCTCCTTGACCTTCTGAAGCGGTGTATCCTGGATGCATTCCTACCCTCCTCCATATCACAGATTGGCAAATGTCAGGAAGTAAAGAACAAGACCGACCCTCTCCAGCTGGATAAAGGTGAAGGAAAAGAGGAAGCAGGTGTCCACCTCCGGCCACATACAGCCAGATGCCCTCAGAATGGCCCAAGAGTCTCCAAGGTAACGCCACAGGGAGGAGAGGCAGGGGGTCACCATCTCACCACCTGACTGTTGTAGTCCTCGGTGACGGCCCCCTCTGTGTTCCCATCCTCTTTGGGCCACCGGTGGCTCCTCGACTCCCGCTGCAGCCTCCGCTCCTCCCTCCTCTTTTGCCGGTCCCTCTGGTGCTCCAGCTGCTTGGTGTGGTGGTAGCGCTGCTGGAAGAGATCTTTTGCATACTCATAAAGCTGCATGTCCAGGAAGTTGAGCTCCTCAATGCGTTGGCGAGCACCGTCATTGATCTCCACATTGGAAGCCCGCGTGATGTTGAACTGTGTGAAGGGAGAGATGAACTTGAGGTTGAATGTCCTCTCAAAGAGAAACTGTGTCTTCCTCTGGAATTCTGTGAGCCCAAAGAAGGCCATGTTCTTCAGGTTGTTTTTCGCGCTCTGCAACAGGATGGTGTTTCTTTCGCTCTCATTCATGAAAGTCAAGTTGTAGCAGCCCACCAGGCTGAGGTCCGCCAGCATGCGCACCTGGCGGTTGTTGGCCAGGTTGTAGGTGCAGTCCATGAACTCTCGCAAGCTCACCCCAGACCAGTCATCCCCCGGGTAGCAGGTAGGTAGCTCATCGGGGGTGGGGCTTCTCCCATCACACATGTGGAGGGAGGTTTTCCACGTGGCTCCTCTCTGGACATGTTTCCACTCGCTCAGGTAACGGGACACTGGATCACGCAACATTGTGATGTAATAGAAATTCCTGGAAGAAATTAAAGGAAGAGTGTCAGTCATTGACAGCTATAACTCTGGGATTCTGAACCTTTGCAGTCAATGGCTCTTCTGCCAGATGTTCATGTGAGAGTGTTTTCTGGGATTTGCACTGATCAGGCAAATGTTCCCATGTGTGCGTATTTCCATAAGCACATGTGAACCAGTTTTCAATATTAAGTTTGCTGGGCTTTTCCTCCCTGCTCCAGTGTGGGGAGGGAGAAGTAGGGGAATAGATCATTCATTCATTCAGCAGTTATTCACTGATCAATTACTACCGGCAATTACAATAGCTTACATTAAGAGAACACATCATGATATTTGAAATTTATTACCAATCCAATATCTATTTGATTCTTACAACAAACTTTTGTAGTAGACATGAGACTATTTGTTAGGGAACCATGCAAGGAGGTAAAGTGATTTGTCCAAGGTCATGGGCGTAGAAAGGGCAAAGCTGGAAGCCAAGGCTCCTATTTTCCTGTTTACACTGCTGTTCTAGATTACAAGGGAGGTGGGGTTGGGAAGGGGTTGTGAAGACTAATATTTACTGAGCAACTATTATGTGCTAGAAACTGTACTAAGTATTTTATGCATACTGGCACAGATAATCCTGAACACAACTTTGTAAAATGAGATTTTTTAAAAAAATGAAACTGAGAATACAGAGACTGAAAAATGTAGCCCAAGGTCCTAGAGCAAGTTAATAACTGAACTGCAATAGAATCTAGGCCTCTTTAATTTCATAGCCCCTGTGCTTTCCTGTGCACTAGACTGATATTTTAAAAACAAAAATGCAACAAATATTTAGTAAATGGGATTAATTGTCAGGTGCTGTGTAGAGGGCCGCCTGGGAGGCACCTAGGCATTTTCTTATAATTATTGTCAGCTGAACTCAGAGCGTAGGCAGAGCCACGCCCTGGGAACATGCTTCCCCAATAAGGCTGGACGTGTTAATCAGGCAGGGGCGGAACTAGATATGTAAATCTAGGCCTTTAAAATAAACCTGCTGTGTGGCTCAGCCGCCTTTGCCGCCTCTCCATCAGAGAGGATGGCGCCCACCTGGCCCCAGCTTAAAATCTATTTCTGCATCTTGGTCTTTCTTTAATTTCTTAATCCCCAGCTCCTCCGCTCAAGAACCTGTCGTTTTCCCGTGCGGGTCGCGGGAAACAGAAACAGCCCACCACAGTGCTGTGGTTATAATTACAGGTCATATCTCATCTAAAGACATTCCATAGAACTTTGAAAATAAGTATATTTTATAAATGATTAACTCCAGAATGATTAGGTAAAGATCAGGGTACCTCTGGCTTAAAAGGACAAAAAGAGAGTTGGAGAAGTCAACAGAAAAAGACATAATAGTAGACTTTAAAGAAAACAAAAATAGATTCATAATGAGAAAAATCCTTCTTATAGATTCAGCAGTTACCAATGGAATGGGCTGCCCACCCCACCACTTTGTCAGCAGGAGTAACACTCAGAAGTCTCCTGGGCAAAGTGTCCTGATACATTCTGAAAAGAGCACCAGGCCTCACTTGGCCAACTAAACTGTTGTGTGGTTTTTTTAGTGCATACCTAGTAAAAGCCCTGACAAAAATAAGGAGTGTAAGGGTACAATGTTTTTTATGCTGTTTAAAATAGCATAAAAATTGAGGAACTATAATATTTCAAATTATACATTTACTATATTCAGTTATTTTTAATGTCTAGCCAAATAATTTTGAAGTGTGCTAATGAAACTTCAAAAACTTAAGTAACACTCATTTCCCATTATATTAGGAGGAGGAATTTATTGGAACTGCCCCAGATAGGCCAGCCTGAACCCTTGCTTTTGCCAGCCAACACTTTCCATTACTCTGTTGTCTTTTCCTGTGACAGAATGACAATTCCATCAGTGGAAGAAAATTTCCCAAAAGGTCAGTAGGGAGAGCAGAAAACGACTGACACAGCTTCTGGGCTCCACAAAGAAATGTTGACGATAAAGTTTTGCTCAGAGATATTACTATGGCTGAATATTATGACATGTCATTATTAATCTTGCTTTGGGCCTATGCTGGGACTTGTTCACTTTCTAGTGTTACAAGCAGAGACTGGCTTTTAATTCATAAGCAAATTTCATTGTAAATATAAAAACACAGTAATGATGACGATGTAACTCAGGTGTGGGTTAAGGATGCCAAAGAGAAGAATTTAAATCAGAGAGACATATGTATTGGGTCAAATAAGACCACACATGAAAAATGTATTATTTCCCTGTTAATTGGGTAAAACAGAAAACATAAAAAAAAGGATTTAAATTAAAAAGATGATGGCAGCCGAACCGGTTTGGCTCAGTGGATAGAGCGTCGGCCTGCGGACTCAAGGGTCCCAGGTTCGATTCCGGTCAAGGGCATGTACCTTGGTTTCGGGCACATCCCTACTGGGGGGCGTGCAGGAGGCAGCTGATCGATGTTTCTCTCTCATCGATGTTTCTAACTCTCTATCCCTCTC